ACTCACTTCGAATAAGATTAGAAAGAGCTTAATGGCAAAACACCAAATCATGATATAAGGTAGGATTAGAAGCTCGTCCAACGAGCTCAACCAAATGTCGCCATCATTTATGAACATCATTATTACTCATCTGGAAAGGTGTCGCCTACTATATTGCTACCTCCTAAATAATACCTCCTAAAATGACAAATGTCAGATGTGTGTCAATACATTTTCACCCACCAGTCAAAGGAGAATAATGATTGTTTAGGCTGTGAACAATCACGACATAGGCAACACCTATGTCATGAACAGCATAATGGGCTCACCTAACGAACTCAACAACCAATCAAAACTCTCACATCTCGAGGTCGATAATGTAGCTGGATGTGAGTAGGGATGACAATTACTTGGTTAACGGCTTATAAATAAGGGCAAAACTCAGTCTTATAATATACTCCCAAAGCCATCTCTGATAAGAAGTACTTTTCGTTTACAATATTCTAGCAATTACCTTGTTAAATTCATCTAAAGTTGATTTAAATTTGTCAATTCATTTTTAGTCATCAACATATTATATATGTACGTTACATGTTCAATGTCTTACAACATGAATGCATAGCATTCCTCTTTATCAATAATGTTAAAAAAATTCGACATTTACAAAAGATCTGCCGATTTTCATTGGACTGATTCACCAATTTTGATATCAAAACTGGATTGGTCATCCGATTGAGACCTCGTTCAACTGTTGATTGGACCGATCGATCCAGTCCAACTTTTACAATTACGGGCGTTATGATTACTGCTGCCAAATACTACCCAATAACTCTTAGTTGAAAGGTCTAAAGTCCATATCAAGACTGTAGGTCGATATTTTCATTTTTCCATCTCCTTGAATTGTCTCTAAAAGTTTTAAATTAGTCGACTATTTAGACAAAATGTGTGAAATTACACAATTAAAAGTAACAAGTCAATTTTTAATTATTTCTAGATCATTAATCAATCATGTCAATTTATCCAATATTTAATTATCTCAATTTTGTAATATGAAAGTAATAAAAAACACCAAATTGATCACGGAGAAACCCCAATTAGGTAAAAACTCCAAATATTTTGTCATTCAGTAATCCACTATAAATCAAAGCAAACTTAAAGTACGTCCAGACTCATCTATCCTGTAAAACTTGTGACCTCAATTATTGCAGTATCTCTTGATCTTACTAAAGGGGTGCTCCTCTGAAATAAATATCGACTCTTGATTTATACATTAGCCCTTCTAGATTGCGTGCTCCTGATGCCAAATTTCGATTCCTAGACTACGGGCTCCTAAATTTGTGATTTTACAACAGTTCCCGATCCCTGGTATCAATTTATCTCTAGTGGATTAAATGAAAAACTCCTCGTACTCCAGGTTGGTGTTTGATCAAACGACTTTCCGTGTTTTCATCTTGTGGTTTAATATAAAACAATATGATTTGATCAACAAATAATGGGTAAAAAAAATATAGTGGTTGAATCTTTGAATCAATAAATGTTTTGAATATACCCTCATATTTAAATTAAAAAATAAAGAATTAATTGCAACTACACCCCTAAAGTATTTAAAAATATATAAATGAGTTCCAAATAAATTTTTAAAAAGTTGAAAAAAAAATACTCCTATCTTTCACATCCTTCCTCCTATTTCCAATATGTGTTTGAGCCACATTATTTTGGAATACTAAATTGATGGAGAATGTGTAGTTGAAAAAGAAGAAAAAGTTATTGATGCGATTAAAAATATTATTTTATTGAATAATGTGTGGTTGAAAATGAGTAGATGAACGAGAATGAAAATTTTAATGTGGCTCAAACGGGAAAAAGATTAAACAAACCATCTCCTGGTGCACTCACAATCGGATTTAGAATTCTTGTTAAAAATTGAACTTGTACTAGAAATTTTCTTGGATTTCATCCCAAGGAGTCGAAGAATTGCTGCTATGGATTTACCTTTTGGTTCTTTAACCTTGGACTCCAGATCTTTACTAAGTTCTTGTTATCTCCATTGACTGCTTGAGTTTTCTCTGAACTCAGAAGAAGCCACTACAGAATCTGATTCAATCTAATCACCATCAAGAATATGTTAAGGAAAATTCTTCGTCTTGGATTTTAGCTTCTTGATAGAGAATTCTCTAACATGAGTACTGTTCATGTGACCTCCCAATCTCACGATACACATTCTCCCAATGCTGACTCACCAGAAGAAGAAGCTGCACAATCAGCAGCTCACGATTCTAGCATGGCAAGGAGCTCACGTTCAGCATACCTCAGCTCCTCCTTCTAGATTCTTCTAGCTTCTTCCTCAATTTGTTAAATTGTTAGTCTGTTGTTGGTTTGTTATTTTGTTAGTCTATAAATAAGGGCAATGTACTCACTATTGATTTAATGAGAAATGGAGTAATTCTTCTTCTTCTTCTTCTTCATTCAATTTATCAGCTGCTTCGTTTTTGGTTGATGAATTTGACATGGTATCAGAGCATGTGGCTGTAATTTCCTCTTTTTCAAATCAGATAATTTTTCTTTGACAAAAGTTTTGCTCTGGAATTTCTCGCCCTAAATTCTCAGCCTCAACAATTTTTCTCTTCATCAACACTTTACTTGAAACATGACAAGTTCAGCTGATTCTTTCTCTAATCCGGCTGATGATCCAATCAGCCACTACTATCTACATCCTAGCAACAATCCTGGCGCACTAATTGTCTCTGACATCTTCAATGGGGACAATTATACCTCTTGGAGTCGATCTATTTCCATGGCCTTAAGCGTGAAGAACAAATTAGGCTTCATTGACGGTTCCTTGAAATTACCAGATCCGTCGTCTGGTACTACATATAATTGTTGGGTACGTGCAAATGATCTGGTTTTATCATGGCTATTGAACTCAATTAGCAAGGATATTCGCCAAAGTTTGCTATATATTTCCTCAGCATATGAAGTTTGGAGTGAGCTCAAAACTAGATATGTTCGAAGTGATGGACCTAGAGTATACCATTTGGAGAAATGGATGACAAAGTCTCACTATGTATTACAACTCATTCAAAGGTATTTGGGAAGAATACACCAGCTACAGACATTTGCCTAAGTGCAGCTGTGATAAACTTTCAAATTGTACTTGTGAGATACTGAAGAGTATATCAGACACACAACAATCAGATGCTGTCATGAAATTTCTTATTGGTCTGAATGAGTCTTATTCTACACTAAGAAGCCAACTCCTGCTGACTTCTTCCTTACCATCATTAGCTCGAGTTTATGCTCTTATGCTTCAAGAAGAGAGTCAAAGAGATCTCCAGAATTATTCAT